AGTGATATTCCATTGAAAAATACACACACACACACACACACACACACACACACACCACATTTTCTTTATCCCTTGAAGGACACCTAGGTTGGTTCCATAGTTTACCCATTGTGAATTGAGCTGCTATTGCCGTACTGCATGAACATTTTTATCAAACCAAAAAGAAACACTTTAGACACATGCCTATTCTACACATTTCATATAAATCAAATCATAGAAAAATGGTCTTTGTAACTGGCTTTCTTTTCTTAACAGAATACCTTCAAAGTTCACCCATGTTGCAGTATGGATCAGATTTCTTTTTCTAATTTTTTAAATTTTTTACTTTTTCTTTTTAGATATACATGACAGTAGAGTGTATTTTCATCTATTATACATACATGGAAAGAACATTTTTTCTTTTTGTGGCTGAATAATATTATGTATGGACATACACATTGCTTATCCATTCATCAGATGACAGGCATTCAGCTTGTTTCCACATTTTAGCCATTGTGAATAATGCTGTTATGAACATTTGTGTCCAAGTTTTTGAAACCTATTAATTCTTTTGGTGTTATGCTTAGGATTGGAATTGCTGGGTCGTGCAGCAATTCTATAACTTTTTGAGGAACTACAAAACTGTTTTCCACAGCAGCTGTACCACTTTACATCCTTACCAGCAATAGACAGAGGTCCAGTTACTCCACATCTTTGGCAACACTTACTGTTGTCCATCCTTTGATTATAACCATCCTAATAGGTGTGATAGTGGTATTTCATTGTGGCTTTGATTTGCATTTTCTAGTTATGCTCATGACTAATAATGCTGAGCAGCTTTTCACATGCTACCAGTCATATATGTCTTCTTTAGAGAAATATCTACTCAAGTCTGCTGCCCATTTTTTAACTGAGTTATTTCTCTTTTTGTTGTTGTAATATGAGTTCTTCATATATTTTGGACATTTAACAGGTATATGATTTGCAAATTTTTGTAGATTGTTTCTTCATGTTCTTTTCAGTATCCTTTGCTGCATAAAAGTTTTTAATTATAATGAAGTTTAATGTATTTTTTCTTGTCTTGTTCATGCTTTGGGGGTCATAGCTAAGAATCTATTGCTGAGCCCAAGGTCATGAAGACTTGCCGTGGTGTTTTCTAAGAGTTTTATAATTTTAGCTCTTACATTTAAGGCCCTGATTCTTTAAGTTAAAATTTTTATATATGAGTAGAAATTAACTTCACTCTTCATATGTGATATCCAGTTGTCCCAACACTATTTTATACCTATCAGTACCATATTGTTGTGATTCATGTAGCTCTGTGGTAAGTTTTGAAATTCTGAGTCTTCCAATGTTACCTTTTTTGAGATTGCTTTGGCTTTTAGTATCCCTTCCAATGTAATAGTAACATTATGAGCAGCTTTTCCATTAAAAAAAAAAAAAAAAAAAAAAGGTCACTGAGATGTTTAGTCTCTTTTTGAAGTTTTAAACATACTTATTAAACTTACTCTTAAGCATTTTATTCTTTTGGATGATAATGTAAATGGAATTGTTCTTTTAATTTTATTTTCATATGTTTCATTGCTAGCATATAGAAATAACTGCTATTTTATGTTTCTTCAAAATTTTTCTTTAATATTTTTAATTAATAAATGAAAATCATATATACTGATGGTACATATGATGTTTTAATATAGGATACATTATAAAAAGGCTAAATCCAACTAATTGACATACACATTATCTCACATATACATTTTATATCTACTCTCAGCAATTTACAAACATACAATATATTCTTTTTTTTTTAAAGAGAGAGAGAGAATTTTTCAATACTTATTTTTTAGTTTTCAGTGGACACAACATCTTTATTTTATTTTTATGTGGTGCTGAGGATTGAACCCAGCAGCTGGCGCATGCCAAGCGAGCGCGCTACTGCTTGAGCAACATCCCCAGCCCACAATATATTCTTAACTGTAGTCACCATGATATACAATAGATCTCTTAGATGTATTCCTCCTAACTGAATAAACTGTAACCTTTGACCAGCAACTCTTCAATCTGAGTTATTTCTAGACTCTCATTTACACAGTTACAGCAGTTTAGGAAGAAGGACTCCAACTCCATTACTGTTCGACATTAACAGAATCTACCTAATAGCAACGGTGTGTCATAACAAATATTAAGTATTATAATAAGGGTCCAGAGAAGACTGAGAATATCAAAGTGAAATTCGGAGTAACTACATTAGTAGATATTAATATTATTCCATCCATTGTCTTTGGTCCTAAACTGTCACAAATCCCCAGTTTCTCTTTCCAGCTTATTAAAGACTTTTGACATTTCTTCGCTTCAGTGAGAGACCCTAACTGTCCCTTCCAGCACAATGACTCCTAAATTCATAGATTCTTTTGGAAACAAGAAACTCTAGGTCTAAAGGTCAAATTATTTAATCCATGCCCATGGTTTCATAGATGCCAGGCAATAAAGGCACAGAGATTTTATACCACTTGCCTATATTTGCAAATTTAGAAAGCCATCAACAATAAAGTCATATATTAGACAGACTTCCTATATCATGTAAAAAGTAAACACATTTAGGGTGATAGCTCTCAATACTCAGTATTTTACATATCTCTAATCATTTATTTAAAAGTTACATACTATGATGATAATAGGAAAACAATTTTTAGGGGAATTTATATATTTACAAATATTGTGTGAATATATTAGTAATCGTTACAACATTACCAGAATTTAAATATTTTTTTAAAAAGCTTTTAGGTTTATTAAAACCAGCATTTTCTCCTTGGTTTGCAAGAGAGAAAACAATTAAAATAGCTTTGTAAAACCTATGAATGATTAAAATGCCACCTCTCTTTTATGTGAATCCAGGAAACTAAGCAATATACCACAAACAAGTCTTCTCATCAAAACAAAGACTTGTTCAGGAAAAAAATTTTTTCAGAACTTTGTGTACTAGCTTTAATATGAGTCCACTAGATTCTGATTGCTGGCAGGCCAAACTTGCAACCCTTGCCTGTAATCTTCAGAAGAACCTTCTCAGCAAATTGAGCTTTCCAACCCAGACATTTGCTCTCGCTGCTGTTCTGTCACAGAGACTAACTCTATCTTTTAAGTACCAGTGAACCATAATTTCTGGCCATCTCAAAATGCTCAGAGAAGCACTTACTGATCTAATAAGTCTTGTTTTGTATTTAATGAATACAATTTTGAGTGATCATAAAAATCCCACATATGGTCATTACAACACTTGTACACAATCTGTTCATCCAATGCATTTCTACTCTACACTATAAACAGCATTGGATGGGACTAGAAAAACATTCACCTACCAAGATGTTCAGGCCAAGGTTACAGGAAATGAGTAAACAATTATGGTTACATAAGGTCTTGGTTACACTAAGATGTTCTGATAGAACAATAATTGAGAATAACAGTCCTATCCTTTCCTCTAATTGTAGGCTCTGATCCTCAAAATAACAATTAAATCTGATCAGTCATTTATGACACAGTACAACCACAGGCTCTCTTTTAGATATATTACACTGGAAAGGCGATTAGATTTTTTTAATATTTGTATATTTTTTGTTGTTTATGGACCTTTATTTTATTCATTTATTTACATGTGATGCTGAGAATTGAACCCCGTGCCTCACACATGCTAGGCAAATGCTCTACCACTGAGCCACAACCCCAGCCCCTGATTAGATTTTTTTAAATCAAAGTTTACATAGATTTTCTGTGGTCTTAAGACTGAGTCAGGCACCTGCTGTATACTGCTATAAACTGCTTTATTCAATACCCTAAAAAATAATTTTCCCACTTAGCTAATAAGTGGCAGCACCCAGAATTAAACTGAAGCTCACAATGATGCCCAGGCTTCTATTCACTGTCCCCCTCAACCACAGTCCAAAGTAACTTATAAACATTTGTTCTTTTACCCGAAAAGAAAGAAAGACATTATTACCTGCTAAACTGTAATACTGAAGAGGACAGAAGAGATCAAGCCCAAAGAGATCTGGGATATCATTTGGTTTGTTTCAGCATTGTGCTGCCACAATAGCAGTTTTCTAATTGTTATAGAATGGAGGAAGTTTGAATGAAAAGTTTTACTTAGCTATTAAGTAGAAAAGGCAAGACTCATTCTCCTAAGTACTATATGTGATATAATTACAAGCAATGAAATAAATGATAAAATTTAGAGAACATGCAGCTAAATTTTATAAAGCCAGTTTTTCTATTACATGAATGTAAGAATTAGCTCCTAATTATCTTACAGCTTTGAAAGCAGTAGAGAGAAGTCATCAGTGAGAGATTATACAAGAACCAGCATTTTCGTCACTGCTAAAATATGAGATCTCATATTTGGTATATAAGTGAACTCTGAGTTATCAGATAAATTTTTGACATACATTCACCTCTCTTCACCTTACATACTCAGCTTAATCATAAGCACTGGCTATATTCACTTTTTAAAACCAAATGCTCATAGGACCTAGTGATATGTGAGCCACAAAAACTCAATATATCTTCCAAATACAATGTATTAAGTTAACACTTAAATGATTCTTGCTACACATATCAGTATATTTAATGCTTAATTTCAAAATTTTTAACAATGAAAAAGCAAAAACATAAGTTTCTTGTTTAAATTGAGTATTCCATTTCAGAAAAGACAAGTTTTGGCACTTTTTTTTTTTTTTAACTAGTTTTAACTTTATCAAATACTAATACATTTTTAGTGGTCTAACTATTCCTCATTCAAGTACATTTAACACTGCTAGAGAGCCAAGTGCAGTGGCACATGCCTATAGTCTCAGCTACTTAGGAAGCTGAAGAATCACTTGAACCCATGAATTCAGGAACGGTCTGGGCAGCACAGTGAGATTCCATCTCAAAAATAAATAAAAACAAAAACTAAACTAAACCAGCAATGCTGGGGCCCATTACCTTAATGAAACACAGAAACAACAGGGAGATGTAGCCATGGCACCTACCTTGGTTAAGTGAATTACTCCTTTAGAGGTTACTGAACAACCCATGAAGCCAACATACTGAAGTTCAGGACAGTGCTCAGCAAATGCTTTCACTGACTGGTCTGTCACCTAAGGAAGAGATGAGAAAAAAATTATTGAAAGTGATATTATAGTGAACTAAAGCATTACACCCTCCTATAATTTCCCTGTGCTTCACCTTGCATCATTACTACTTCTTTTACCAATGAAGCAGTTGAATCTACATACAAACATGCTGCAATATGTGCTGTGCCTTTTTTTTTAAATCCTTCCTTATCCCAAATCCCCTTATACCTATCACCCATGTTTTTTATGTCTTCATAGAAAACACCTCAAAGAGATATTGGCAGTCACCTCTGCTTCTTCCTCCCTGTTGCTGGCCTCCTCTGTCTCTTCCTCTCTTTATCTCCCTCTCTCATTCCCTCTTGCTCATCTCAATCCTCAGCTCACTTCTTTTGTTTCTGTCTTACTTCATTCCCTAACTAGTCTAATCTTATCTCATGACACTAAATATTACTATGTATTAATGGGCCTCAAATTCCAGTCTGCAGTCCAGATCTCTGCCCTCTACTTCAAACTTCTATATTCAATTGCTTATGCACTCCCTTTGTATGTCTATAGGCATCTCAAACTTAACATATCCAAAAGAGACATTTTATATTCCAAACAAGCCTGCTTTTCCCCAGGGTTACCCAGTTCAATGAATAGCATCACTTTTCAACCAGAAATTCAAAACTTTTTTCCATTCAAAATACCATCCAGCAAACTAGAAAATGTTTTCAGTTCTTCCAAATAAATTCTACATCTAAACTCATTTCTCACCTCTGCCACCACTACCTTCTAAATCCACTGTTAGTATCATACACCTGAAGTTCGGAAAGAGCCTCCTAATACAATTGATTCCTTGCTCCTCTACTGTTTATTCTTTATACAGCAGCTACAAGATCTAACTAATATTTCTTTGCTGTTCAAACTTTGATTATTTCTTATTTATAACTCAAGATTCCTTGCCATGCCCCACCTATGCTCTTGCTAATTTGACCCTAAACGGACTTCAGTTTCTTTCATTTTCCTCCAGACCTCCATTTCTCTCATTTACTCCATCCAAAATGGTCTCAAAGACTTCCTCCAGCACACCATGTTTCTCTGCCTCAAGGTCTTTATATTTATCCTTTGCCGTAAATGCATACCCTCTAGTTGGTCACATGGCTCACTGCTTCAATTCATTTCTGCCTTAGCTTCACTGTCACTTCCTGAGATTCTTGCTGACTGCCAACTAAGATAACACCAAATAACTTCCCCTAGTTACTTTCTTGTGGTGTTTTTTCTTCATAACACCCATCACTACCTCATTATGTCACACAATTGCTCACTTATTAGATTGTTGTCTGTCTTCCCCATCAGAATAACTTATTATCATATCCTCCCTTCACTAGAGGAACCAATCATTCTGGTTGACTTTGTACAATTTCAGTCTTAGCACCAAAAGTCCCAGTACCCCAAAAACTCCTGAGTTCAGGCTCTGGGACAGTTGACAATCCTAACCAGGGTGATCAATCACTCAGTCCCACTCAAACTCCATTAGAACCTAGAACAGTCCTTGGCATTTGGTGGGGAGAAAATGAATACTTAAATGAATGAATTTTTTTTATTACTCTTTCTCCATAAATTCTATCATACTTTTAATTTCTGCTCCTTTTATTTGCTTTTAGACAGAGGTATATTTGTATTGTTTTTAATATATTGATTTTTAATAGTATCATCCTATTAGTTTTATTTATTCTGATATAGCTGGTGTGTTTTATGATTTTTTTTTCCAAACAGGATCTCACTATGTTGCCCAGGCTGGCCTCAAATTCCTGGGCTCAAGCAACATTTCTGCCTCAGCCTCCCGAGTAGCTAGGACTATAAGTGCACACCATCACACCATACTCTGAAATCTTTTCTCAAATAGGGACAAGGGTGCACATTTTCACATCGGTGGCTCTTAGCTTTGATGCATCTCATGGTTAATTTTATATGCCAACTTGAGCATGCTACAGGTTATCCAGATATTTAATTAAACATTTTTTGAGGTGTATAGAATGTTTCTGGATAAGACAAACAATTGAACCATTAGAATAAGTAAAACAGATTGTCTTTCCCAATGTATATGGGCCTCATTCATCTATTGAAGGCCTGAATGGAATAAAAAATTCAAGTACGCAATAATTTGCACAGTCTTGCCTTATAATCCTCCATCTGGGATACTGTTCTTCTTCTGCCTTCAGACTCAGACTTGGATTGGCATAAAAATATTGGTTCTCTTGGGTCTTTAGATGGTCAACTGCAGATCTTAGGATTTCTCATTCTTTGTAATCATGTAAGTTTATTCCCTATAATAATCTCTTGGTAGAAAAATAATCACCTAACAGTTTTCCTTCTCTGGAGAACCCTAATACAATGCATATTATAATCCTTTAAGGAGTTTATTAAAAACTCAAGAGGTAAAAGGGATGGAGCTCGAGGATCTGCATTTTTAACAAGCCCCAAAGTGGCTCTTGGGCATTTAAAAGTGTGAGGCCCCAGTGCTACAAAGAATTTACACTGATAACATTTGGCATTTCTAACTGCACATTCTTTAAATGAAAGGCAGAATGAAATTTGTTTTTTTTCTCCCCTACCTCTGAAATATTTCCATGTATAAAATTACCTTTTTGTAATTGTGCTAAAATTTTCTTCATGGTTTCACAAAGGTATAACTTGTAAAAGAAAGTCCAAATATTTTCTATCATATGCTTAACTTCAGATTCACTTTCCATACAGTCAAAATGAAATCAACAAGTTAAAAAAAGCTCTTGTTGGTTTTTCAAATAGCAGCAGCTTACCTTTCTTTTGCATTAGCTTTAGTGTAGATGACTTTTATTATCTTTTTTATGCTAAACAGACATTGGAAAATAGAAGTATGTGAAGAGCATTCATTCTAAAAAAAATCACAAGACCATTTTCCTAAAATAATGAAACCAACAGCATCCATTGCAAGTCTGATAAAAGATTAATTCTGCCCTCAAAAGCAAAGTATGCTTAAGCATATTAAGACTAAGGGTGCTATTGATAAATTAAAAATGGACTTTCCTGACATGCAGCTTTCTAAAGACATTATATTAACAAAGGATATTTAAAGCATGAAAATTGCTGTAAGCCTCAATCAAATTCAGTATCTTATTAAAAACAAAAAAGGATACCAGAGGTTAAGTACATGGTCAGTTGGTTAAATACTCTGCTAAATCTCAGTCTAACATCAAGTCTCTTCTATATCTGTCTTCAAGTAGGGGAGGGGGAACTCAGATAAGAATTCAGAACGCAACTGATTTAAAACTTAGTTCCAAGGAGCCAGGGCTTTCAGAGAGAAAAAAAAAAAGAATATTAAGATCTTTCTCTTTTAGCTCAAGCAGTCAGAATAAGACAACACAGAGGATCCTGCAATATCAAAAAAGCCCTGAAAAGGCAAGGCACAAGTAAATCCTTAGACTTACTAAGAGTAGAAACACTCTTAGTAGGCTCAGGTATATAGTAGAAAACTGACAAAAAAGGTCCCTGAAATTTTGGAAAGTATCCAGTTCCACTACAAAGAATATAGCATTTAGGGCTCTGGAGCAAAAGCTCTGACAGAAACACAAATGTAGATTGCACGAGGCAAGTATTGATCGATTTCAGCCTCCCTGGGACCCTGCTGTCTGAATGCCTAGTTTTTAATTCAGGATGGACCACTTACCATCTGTGTGATTTTGAACACATAATTTTATTCCTCTATATTTTATAAAAAGAAAATAACAGTACCTGCTTCACAAAGTATGCATGTAAAATTTTTTGAACAGTATATGGTACATTGCTATCGCTCAATAGATTTTAGCAATTGTCATTACTCCCCCTATTCCCTTTCTTCTGTATTCTGATTCTCAGGCAGGACTAAGGAGTTGACATATATAAGAGAATAATTCAAAACCAGAGGAATTAAACCATGATTGCTTATTCTCCTGGTTAAAAAGATTCAAATCATAATTTGGGAGCTCTACATCATGAGCTAAACTGTGGAATGGAAGTAAGGGAGATAAGTGAAAGTTTATTACTGATTGATTATGGTTGAAGGAATCCCATTTTGTTAAGATTTTCAACTAGTTGTACATTAGAATTACCTGAGGAATTTTATGACTTAATTTCTGGGTGGAGATTTGTACCCATTTTTTAAAAATCTTTTATTTATTAATGTATTATTTATTTGTTTGCTTACTTATTTATTTATGGTACTAGGGATTGAACCCAGGGTGCTCCATCACTGAGCTCCAATACCAGCCTCCCCCACTTTTTTAAAGTCTCAGTAAGATGCCCAGGCTGGCCGCAAACCAACAATTCTTCTGACTCAGCTTCCTCAGACACTAGGATTCAGGGTTGCACTATTGTGCCCGGCTGCACCCAATTTATTTTTAAAGTTCCACAGGAGATTCTAATGTTCAGAGTGGGTTATGAACAAGTTCTAATGCCTTCTTCTGCTGGTCTGAGAACTAGCAGAAATGACATCACCTTAGAGCCTGCTAAAAATGGAAAAATCTAAAGCCCCGCACAAACTTACTGAATCCTAATTTGCATTTGAATAATATCCTCAGGTTATTCTTATTGGGGGGTACCAGGAATTGAACTCAGCGGCATTTGACCACTGAGCCATATTCCTACCCTTGTTTTGTATTTTATTTAGAGATAGGGTCTCACTGAGTTGCTTAGCACCTCACTGTTGCTGACGCTGGCTTTGAACTCAGGATCCTCCCAAGCCTCTGGGATTACAGGCATGTTGCCACAGCTTCTGGCCTCAGATGATTCTTTTTTTTTTTTTTTAATTTATTGTTGGCTGTTCAAAACATTACATAGTTCTTGATATATCATATTTCACACTTTGATTCAAGTGGGTTATGAGCGCCCATTTTTACCCCATATACAGATTGCAGAATTACATCAGTTACACATCCATTGATTTACATATTGCCATACTAGTGTCTGTTGTGTTCTGCTGCCTTTCCTATCCTCTACTAGCCCCCCTCCCCTCCCTTCCCCTCCCC